TTATGGCCTGTAATACCTGGTGTTTAGGAATAGAAGAGTCTCTAATAAGACAAATACGTGCTTCATGACGCCATTCATAAAAGGAGATCTCACCCTTAGCCAAGGGCTCATCACAGAAAAAGGTGGAATCTTTGGTGGCTTTGAAACAATGGCAGGAGTGCTTGGAGAAGTGAAAGAAAAATGACTAGGTGTGTCAGGTGGGACAAGCAAAGGGTTGGTTACAGGGGTGGAACTTTGGGTTTTGTACCTCCATGTTTCAGGTGGGGCAAGCAAAGGGTTGGTAACGAGAGGTGGAACTTTGGGTTTTGTACTCATGTTCACCAATCTTAATAGGGGTGAAAGTGTATTTGGTGGAGAGTATTTTCAGCATATCTTCTTCTGAAAGAGAAGTTTTTGTTTCACCTGTGGACCTAAAGTTTCATCCGTTGAGAGACTTTTCCATATTTAAGCAACAATGTGGGATGTAAATCAATGATCAAGGAAGGTGTATTGTAAAAAAAAATGCTGAATTAAAACAAAAATGCAGAATAAAAAAATGCACCTAATATGAATGTATAAGTTAACTTATATCTGCCGCAACTCACAAAATAAGATGCACTGAAATGATTCTATTTTGAGTTCAAGATCAATGTACTTATTTATAAATCAAAATAAAACCAATGTACTTTGATCTGTCTGAAATATTTAGTCAAAACATACCAGAGCTAGAAAAGCATGGAAAAAGCATGTAATGCTCTACATTTTACACTTAGGTGATTAATGAAAGTAGTACCTAACTGTTAACTGGGTAAACAAAATACCTGTTAATATTTAAAATCAATCAACTGTATCGAAATATGTATTTATGCAACAGGTTATTGCTAAAACTGGATAACTTTCTGTTTAAAAAAAAAAAATTGTCACAAGTATCTCAATAAATGAGCTAAACAGGACAGACTGAGCAATTTAATAATGTTGCAGGTGTGTTCAAAAATGTAAATTTAATGTATTGAAACAATGGATTGCTGCAAATGAATCAAATGAAACCAGCAATGACTTGTGAATCTTGATAATGTGTGTATTTTCAGTCAAATTTCCCTCAACACTGGAAAATAGACTGCAATTTCACAGTACTTAATGAAAAATGAAGGGTAAAGGATGAATATACACTTGATATTTACACAATAAAATACTTACATATAACACATATCATTCACAAACATGTACACATGAAATTGGGCAATAAGAGTTTTAATTGGCAGTGGAAACACAAATTTATCTAGCAATTCTCTATATCAACACAATAAACAACACCCTAAAGTTTTATTATTATTATTATTTTTTTTTTTTTTTTTTTTTTTTTTTTTTTTACCACAAAGTCATAATTACGCAACGATCTTTTATATATAACCTTAATTGTTTACTAGCACTATGAAACAAAGATTTATATGTGAATTCTTTGTGAAATATACCAACAAGTAAATATTATCAAGACATGTACCTGTATAATTCTCAAATGTAAGTCACTATTCAAAATCTAAGTAAAATGACTTTTAAAGAAAATAAAATTTATACTTATCTGAGCTTTCTTAATAGAAAAAAATAATTGTATGTCAACAATATTAAAATTTTAATGCTGTACCGAAGATTTAAAAATTCTATTAAAATGAAAATGTCAAACTTCAGTAATTATATAATTATTCTCTACTCTTTATTCAACAAAAATAATGACTTGTCTAAATGAATAAGTGCTTTTTTTTTTTTTTTTAAAGAAAAAAAATAATGTAGAAATAAATTCAATAGAATGCACTTATATAATTATATCGAATTTACAGATAAAAATCTAAAGTTTAATTACCTCATTTTTTTTTTTATTTGTAAATAAACCAAATCACATATTGATAGAGATGAGCAAAAAAATAGTGCGTCTTCAGAAAAAATACGAAATAAACACAAAATTACTTACATATATGTCCAATTCAAGTATCCAATAAACACAATTATTAAAACACTATTAAAATATATTAACACAAAATATCACAAAAAACACAGTTTATGTCCGAAATCCTCCTTTTACATGTATCCTTCCACGCGTCAATATAAGAAAGTCACTGTTTGTAATGTTGTACGCGGTAAACAGCTGTCATGGGCCCAGAGAAAAATAGAAGGGGAAAGTGCACTATGGAATTTGGGATATACCTATAATGTAGAGAGCCTGGAAACTGAAGGGGAACACTTCAGCTCCTGACTTCTGCAGAGAGGGTTGCCGGCGCTGTCCTCGGGGTGTCTGGATAAAAATTCACCACCTCTGGTACAGTAGAACTGCCCTTACTGAAGAATCAGCTGATGGCCCTGGTTTTCTTGGTTACATCATTCCTCATCGGGGAGCCATTTTGTAGAGTATGGTTGGATTGAAACATGACCAACTCTGACTGGTGTTTCAATATTTATTTTTGATGATGTGTAAGTGAAAACCTATAACATGAATAAACAATTATAAATACATGAAATACAAAACACAAATTAAAATACAAAATTCTATATCGATATCATTTCAAACATTTCATATTTTAAACAATGTCAATTATTTTCAATTATTTAATTCATACATTTCATTACATTTATTTTAAGTAATTTTAAGTAAAACATATCTTACCAAGGTGCAACTGGCTGACCTCTGTTATATAAAATGTTAAATATCGAATCTGTTCTATAAAGAACAAACGTAAAGTTGACTTATACAAATATTATATTCAAAATGTTCTATAAAGAACTACTGATGTTCACCTTACAATGCAAAGTATGAAAATGATTTCTTAGAAAAGGAATGTAAATTGCCCGTGCATAAAATGATATGAAATCTCTCTCATCCAATCACATTCTTACTTAACAAATATACAAGATATTTATTGGACATCACTTAACAACACAGGACATAACAAGAACATAACAAGAGACAGTTCACTGAGCAAAGTAACTCACAACAAGAACAAGACATTACCCATAATTCTTATAATGATGAATGAAAATGATGTCATGTGATTATGCATGAATGAATGAAAATGTACAGTTAGTTATTCACTAGAGTGATTACAACTTTGTTTGTAAATATAGGATGAGTAAATAGATAGGCAGTAAATTGACCTTATCTACAAGCATTTAAATGGATTATGTCTTAACCCTTTAGTTACTTATAAAAGGTGCTACTTTAATGAAAGTTTTAGTATATGCATATTTTCCACATCATTTGTAAACTACCTTACTGATCTCATTACACATTTTACAACTGTTTTGGGATAATAATACGTTTCATTCGTGCAGCAAAATCAGCTTAAACTACACTATTACGACCAGATTCGTGCGATAAAATCTAAACAAAAATAGAAAGTTAGCCGTGAACTTAATGTTTATTTAATAGGTATGGTTCAGTTACATGAATGTGTCATTTTTGCTAATTTTTTCAGCTGCATATTTCAAAAGATTGACTTTTACTTTTTAACGAAAATTTTTCGGACAAATATAAAAACCTGATGAATTATAAAAAGACTGTCCTACTCATTTAAGAAAATGAAATCTACCGGAACTTTCCGAACGATATCTGAAGAAATTTTCTAGGAACACGCGGTTTATTGATTATGTTTGCACGATAAAATATAGAATTTAACAAAATCATTGCAAAATGTAAATCATTTGGAGTTTTTTCTATGCACCCACCATTAACACTTGGATGGGAATAATGTCACTATGAGTAAAACTCACCGTATATCTGCACACGTAATTTTAAGCATTATCAAAATCTTTGCAAGTTCCTTTTTACAAAGAAAATGTTACAAAATTTATTTATCTTGATATACGACATACAACTTGCCCCGACAAAGTTTTCTTTATGTTAGGATCTATGTCTGTTAAACAATTTATCTGGGCTTAAACATGTTTCTTCTTGTAAAATATTTAACAAAATATTTCCCTAAGGTTATCCTACTTTTCTTCCCTTCAAATAATGTCTTTCCATCTAAAGGTGTGTTTACAATATTGAGCTGGTTGTCGTACATAAGTACTGTTTTTGGAATTACATGATGAATATTGATAAACGTATATACAAGGCAAGAGCGAGCCAGTTCCAAACATTACATCGAAAAGTAAAATCACTTTAAGCTATTTTTCATTTGGTAATAATAAATGTCCTTGTCCCTTCTATTGCATAAAGTTATCTATTTTAGAAGAAAAATTGTGTAGGGTTATCTTATCAGTTTTAAATTTGATAAATTGATATATAACCTGGCCTGTCCTTATTAATTATGCAGATTGATTATATTTTTAATCATTATACTCTCATTTTTCGAAATGACAGCGAAACGGACAATCATGGGGACAATTTGGTCAAAATTAAAAGCACAATGCCTGTACTTTGTATAGAAGACCTTGATATCCAAGTTGTGTAATGTATTAAGTTGAAGCTTTTATAATTTCTATTGTACTCCAAATGTTGTACTCCAAAAACGCTGGCAATTTCATAGTGAATTAAATTGTTCTTGTGCGTTTGAATAGTAAGCATCATGACAACAGGACAAAAAAGGTTGTATGAGGACTTGGCGTCTTTGTATTCATGATTTAGTCCAAAACTGTCGTCTTCGTCGGGGTCTTCTTCTCTGCGGGTGAATTCCTCGATGTGTTCAACTATGCTTAATTTCAGTACATCAACTTGATGCTTGGCTATGGCAAGCATATGAAGCCTACTAAATCTTTCAGGATCTTCGACAGTAGGTGGTCTCAACGATAGCCCAAAATCAAACGACCTTTATTTTTACATATGCATAGACGTTCCTGAAACAGTCGAATGACGCCAAACTGACGCTCAACGGACGCAAATGGACGTTCGTTTCACTTTGGTTACACGTTTTTCGCGCTTGAGGACTGTTCAGCGGTCGTTAACAGGTCGCCAGTGAGACATTTACTGGAAAGCAAACGATAAGTAACAACTAAGTAGCGAATGAGTAACGACTGACTAACGATAGTCGAACATGAGCACGCTCGGCGAAAGTGCGTAAAACGTTCCCGGCGATTACCAACGTTCACTAGCGTTCACACTACATTCTTCTTGCGCTATGCCAACAACTATGGGCGACTACCAACGTTCCTTAAGCGTCAAAGAACGCTGACCAGAACGTCATTGTGTGACGCCCCTATTACATAAACCTGTACAGGCGATTTTACCAAAAAATGTTACAAAACTTATCTTGACATACATCATTTAACTCGCACGACATAGTCTTTAACAAGGGTGAGCTTAATCCGTTTGATATTTTATTAATTACAGAAATCTGGCTTGGCTTGTAACTATAATTTGTGCCGATTGACTATATTTTCAATATTATCCTCACGCTTTTCAAAATGACAGAAAAATGGACACTCATGGGAATAGTTTTGTTAAAATTAAAAGCACAAAACAGATAATTTGTAGAGAAGACATTGAGATTCAAGATGATTAAAAGTAATTAATTGAAGCTTTGTGTATTTTCTATCGTACTCCAAATTTTCCCCCTTTTTGGGGAGGTTGGAGACCTTGTCATTTCTCTAAAAATGTAATGAAATAAAGGTAAATGTATCAACACTGTAGGATATATTTATACTTTATAAATATCTAGATCAAGCATTCCCTTTGTCAATATTTGAGTAAGCTAAAAGTTTAAACTGTGTAAATGTTTTTATCAGGCAAACAGTATGATGAAAGTGAAGGAGTAAGAAAGGTTCCGGAAAAGAACTGTTTACCACGGCCTCCTAGTAAATCGGATGAAACATATTACGACTGCGATGATATACATATGATAGAAAAAGAGCAAGAAACCGGTAATAAAAATTAGCATTATTTATTTGTTTAACGTAACAGGGCGATAACTTTGACTTAGATTAATTACAAATGAATAAGTAAGATTATTGCTAATGTTATTTTAGGGCGAAAGAATTCTTTGTATATTATTCGTTGTTCTTTTTAACAGACACATTTCCACATAAAACATTGAACATTGGACCGATTCTAGTAATTGTTTTCATTGTAAGATAGCAACATAATTTGTGTATTCTATATATTTACAATATTTGTAAGTGTTAAAGAACATTGAAAGTCTTTTTGAGATGTTTTAAACAAATGGCCATATAAATAGGAAAACAATGTGGAATTTCATTTCTTTTAGCATTTACAGTTTACACCTTTTGATGAAAATACAATACTTTTTCCAAAACAGATGCCCCTCAATGCTATTGAAAATAATCCTTATATTTGATAGAAATTGATAAACTAAAAAGTAAAAACCTTAGAACTTTGTACAATATTTTTAATCAAATGCATCATTTAATGCAATAAAATAACATAATAGAGAATTTTCTCTCTCTCTCTCTCTCTTCACATATTATTCTGTAGATTTCTTCATAAATACATACACTTATCATTATAAAATAAATTGTTTAAAGATTGTTTAGAGAACACAACATCAATCACTTCATGTTACCCTTTAGTTACTTATAAAAGTTGCTATCTTTAATTATTTTCCAAATCAAGGATTTATCTAAAGAATTTGTAAAACATCTCATTTACCCTATTAAAACACATTTTACAATTGTTTTGAGATGGTTAAACATTTTTATTCATGAAACAAAATTAACTTAAATGACACTGACGGCCAGATTAATCCGATGAAATCTCAACAAAAATAGAAAGATAGCAAAGTACACTATGTTTTATGGGTATTGCTTAATTACATTAAGTAACATTATGCTCATTTTTTAGCTGAATTGGTTTAAAAAGATTGTCTTTGCCAATAATTGATAACGAAAATGTTTCGTACTAAAATAAAAACTAAATAAATAAGTTTTTAAAAAATGTCCTACTCATTTTGAAAATATGAAATTTTAAACGTTAACAAAACCTGTACAAATGCCTTTTAAAAAAATGTTACAAAACTTGATATACAATATACGATTTGCCCCGACATAGTCTTCGTTAATTATGGATCTATGCCTGTTATCAATTTATCCGGGCTTAAATATTTATCCTGTTGTCAATTATTAAACAAAATCTTTCCAAATGGTTATTCTACATATTTGTTCTTCCCCTCAAATAATTTCTTTCCATCTAAAGGTATGTTTGCAACATTGAACTTGTTGTCGTACATTCATTCTTTTCCGACATTACTTGGTAAAAATATATACAATGCAAGAGCAAGCCAGTTCTAAATATTACAGCGAATAGTAAAAGTTGTTCAACATATAAATCACTTTGAAGCTGTCATTTGATGGCTGCTATTCTTCATTTTGGTAATGTTAAAAGTCCTTGTCCCTTCTATCAGATCAAGTGATCTATTATATAATTAAATTATTTACCTACCCGACATTTTAAACTAATTATCATTTGTGCACTACAATTTGAAATGTGCAAAATTGTCTGAAGAAAGAAAAAATTTGTAGGGTGATCTAAATCTGTTGGATATTTTTTTTATTACAAAAATCTGTATTAAGGTGACAATGGAGTCAATTATTACTGAAAATACCTAATATGAGATTTTTTGCTTAGTAGATTTATCAACCTTTTCTGAACACATTCGTGATTTAATTTTGGAAGCAGTTAGTCCAAAAAATGTGTTTTTAAACGTTTTAAAACGGCACCTTTACTACTTTTATCTGCTATTCACGTAACCTGTCAATTATCGATAACGCTCCGCCCCCTGTTGAGGCATCAATGAGGGAAATCGGTAGTTCCATATATCCGTGAATTACCGGCCCATACTGGTTCATACTACTCGTACAAGTACTTTACATGATACTACATCTTTTATGAATATCTCAACATTATACCGTCGACCTTTTATTTAGCCTTTTTTATAAATTAAGAAATTGTCGGCCAATGTACGTAACAAAATGTATGTAACATATATAATTAAGCATAGCGGCAAATCGCACGACCACGGGGTTGATTAAAAAAAGTTGTTGCTAAAATGTGTGAAAATAATTTGTCTGTCCCGTTAATCTGATAGATATTACATTGAGTTTATGGACTTTTGTACGGACTTAAGGGTTTGTTTTACATTCAATCTTGTTTTCTAACAATGTCAAGTAAAACAACAACAAAAACAGACAACATTTTTTTTTATGTAAACGCCTATATGACTTGTGGTAAAATGTCCCTGACAAATTTCTAAACAATTTTTACGATTGTCTAAGCATGATTATTTCTCTATGAATCAATAAAAAAGATATTAAAATATATTATCATTGAAAGCTTTAAATAAATTGGTCGCCAGTAAATCGAACACAGTACTAATAAACCTGGGACGAAGTATGGAATTTATTGTATATCCCAGTTGAAACTGGATCTCTATGCCTTTCTTAGATGATATTCATGATAATAGATGTCAGGAAGGTCAGATCATAATGATCGAGTAATACCTTTTATTTCTATTAAAATATGTGAAGCATTTATATCAATTTCGTGGAAAAAATATATAATATCCCGTTCTTATTTGTACATGTACCATGGACTTTAAAAGACTGTCATAAGCTCAGTTGTTTGTTATTTTAATTTATATTTTAAATAACGGAATTTCATACGCGAATACACAGGCAAAGCGACACTGGTATGATATAAAAAGAATGCTGATGATAATAATAATAAATTTCAAAAGTGAAACAATTAATACCCCGCTAGCGGTGCGCAAATGTGTTCCATTTCCCCCCACCGACTGCCTCAAATTTTACCGATAGTCACGTGACATGTGCGACAGACACCCGACGGGGACAGTAAATCACCTTAAGATTTGAAGAATTTTCTGCTATAAACTGATATTAATCAGCAGCTTTAAAATTGGTCAGATGTCACTGAAAATGTTGTTCAATTATATTACGCAACTTGTTACCCTCTGCGATTTTTGTGTGTTATGCAATTATTTAGCGCGAAACGTAGGGGTCCGAGAGAGAACAGCCGATTTATGACACTTCGTTTGATGCGGGTCGGACTAACTTTGTATCGGCATAACTTTATTAATGATCAAGCAATTAACATGTGGTTTAAAGCACATGAAAGGGAATTCATTTACGGAGGGACCCGTGACAGGGATTTCTGTTTGCTCAATTAGCGACTTAATTATCTTTAATTGCGTTATATTTATGGTGAAAAAAAGTCGCATAAATTGTTTGACGTTACGTAATATTTTTTTAAGAAAAGAGAGAAAAAATTTTAGACACGGTTCCCCAGATATTATAAATATGTTTATATTTCAAAAGTTTGATGACAAAAAAAAAAAATGACTTTTATATGACGATTTAAAATTTTAGGAATTTTTTTCAAAATCAATCATTTACAAAGGCTTTTTTTTCAAATATGTTATTTTTTATGATGATCATCGATATTTAATGCACAAAGATTAAATAAATAACAATAATTACTAAAATAAGTTTGTTTAAATGACATTTATGTGAGTACCACGGAAAGTGTCTGTTGTCGCCTTAATTTGTAGAGAAGACCTTGAAATCAAAGGTGTGAAATGAATTTAGTTGAAATTGTTTCTTAACATTGTTTAAGATTCCAAATTGTTCCCCTTGTTGGTCAGATTTAAATTTGGAGGATGGCAAACTTGTCATTTCTCTATTGAATGTCATGAAATAAAGATAGATACATCACACTGTATGATGTATTTATTTTTTATTAAAATCTATATCAAGCATTCACTTTGTCTATATTTAAGCTACTAAAAAGTTTAAACAGTCTTAATGTTTTATATCAGGCAATCAGATATATGATGGATGTGAAGGTCTGAAAAAGATTACGCAAACGAACACTTTACCAAGGCCTCCTGGTGCTAGTAAATCGAATGAAGAATATAACGTCTACAAGGATACACATATAATAGAACAACAGCAAGAAACTGGTAATGACGATTAAGATGACAATTAAGATGATTTATTTGTTTAACATTATATGACGATAACTTTGATTTAGATTAATTACAAATTAATAAGTTAGATTATTGCTTATGATATTTTAGGGCGTAAGAAACCTTTGTTGATTATTCTTTGTTCTCTTTAACAGACTATTTATTTCCACATATTAACATTTAACTGATTCTGATATTTGTTATATTTGTAAGTTAGATAGCAATGTACTTCGTTTATTCTATAAATTTACAATATTCGCATGTTTTAAAGACTGACAACCTTTCTTGAAATGTTTTAAAGAAATGGCCATATTGATAGGAAAACAACGTGGAAGTTCATTATATCCCCCCCCCCCCAAATGAAGTTAAGGGGTTGTATAGGAGTCAGCTTGTCGGTAAGTCCGTTAGTTGATTGGTCGGTCCGTTCGTCCGTCTTTGGTCCAAATCATGGTTCCGGACGATAACTACAGCTAGGAATGAGATATTGTTATAAAACTTGTTGTAAAGCAAGCTTATTTAAGACCCTTGTTGGTACTGCATTTTAACTCCCTGGGGTTAAGATCAAGGTCACGGCTACTAAAAATAGAAAAATGGTTTCCGGACGATAGCAAGAGCTAGAAATGCGATATTAAAATCAACCATAGTGTAAAGCAAGCTTATATGGAGACCCCGGTTGGTATTGCATTTGGCCCTCCGTGGGTCAAGATCAAGGTCACCGTTACTAAAAATAGAAAACTGGTTTCCAGAAAATGAATAGAGTTAGGAATGAGATGTTATAATGAAACTTCGTGTTAAGCATGCTTATATGAAGACCCCGGTAAGTATTGCATTTTGACCCCTGAGGTCAAGGTCACATTTACTAAAAATGAAAAATTGTTCCGGACAATTAATAGAGTAAGGAATAAGACTTTACAATCAAACTTGGTGTAAAGCAAGCTTATATGAAGACCCCAGCTGGTATTGCATTTGCACCCCTGGTGTCATGGTCAAGGTTACCGTTTTTTTAAATAGAAAAATGGTATCCGGACAATCATTACAGTTAAGAATGAGATATTGCGATCAAACTTGATGTAAAGCAAGCTTATATAAAGACCTCGGTTGGTATTGTATTTGGACCCCCTGAGGTTAAGGTCAAGATCACCGTTACTTAATACAAAAAAAAATGTTTCGAACAATTACTAGAGGTAGGAATGAGATATTGCAATCAAACATGGTGTATAGCAAGCTTAAATGAAGACCCCTGTTGTTATTGCATTTTGACACCCTGTTGTCAAGGTCTAGGCCACTGTTTCTTAAAATAAAAAAAAATGGTTTCCAGACAATCTTCAGAGTAAGCAATGAGATATTGCAATCAAACTTGGTGTATAGCAAGCTTATATGAACACCCCGGTTGGTATTGCACTTAGACCCCCTGGACTCATAGTCAAGGTCACCGTTATTAAAAATAGGAACAATCATTAGAGTTAGGAATGAGATAATGTAATCAAACTTGATTTATACATTGTAGCAAGCTTATATGGAGACCCGGTTGATATTGCAATTGGACCCAGTGGGGTCAAGGTCACCATTACTGAAAATAGATAAATAGTTTCCGTACAATAACTAGAGTTAACTAGACTTGCTATATTATGATGCAAAAATGGGAAGATATATTAAACAAGATTGTGTCGGTTTCTTAATCTATTTACTAATGATACTACAGAGAGATGAGCCATGTGAATTTAGGCGGGGCTTGTCATCTACAGGCTAATATTATATGACCAATAGCGAATCAATATATTACAACGTGGTTAATTTTGATTATTAGTGTTAAGTAATATATAGACTGAAACACAATCATTGCAAATTGTAAAATTATTTGGAGTTTTACCTATGCACCCGCCATTTACACTCCGGGCATAATGTCCTATAAGTGTAACTCACTGTATATCTGTACACGTAATTTTAAACGTTACCAAAACCAACCTTCACAAGTGACTTTTTACAAAATATATTGATTATATTTTGCCCCAACATAGTCTTTGTAAATTAGGGATCTATATCTGTTATCAATTTATCCCGGCTAAAACATGTTTCCTTTCGTAAGTTATTTAACAAAATATTTCCCCATAATTATTTTAACTAATTTGTTTTGCCTCAAATAATTTCTTCCATCAAAAGGTATTTTTGCAATATTGAACTGGTTGTCGTACATTAGTACTGTTTTTGTAATTACATGATGAATATTGATGAACGTATATACAAGGCAAGAGCGAGCCAGTTCCAAACATAACAACGAAAAGTAAAAGTTGTTAAACATTTAAATCACTTTATGGCTGCTATTTTTCATTTGGTAATAATAAATGTCCTTGTTCCTTCTATTGCATCAAGTTATCTGTTATAGTAGAACAATTGTGTAGGGTGATCTTAATCAGTTTGATATATTTATAAATTACAGTAACCTGGCTTTTCCTTATTAATTATCCAGATTGATTAATATATTTTTAATCATTATACTCTCACTTTTCGAAATGACAGCGAAACGGACAATCATTGGGACAATTTGGTCAAAATTAAAGACACAATGCCTGAACTTTGTAAAAAAGACTTTGATATCTAAGGTGTGAAATGCATTTAGTTGAAGCCTTTAAACTTACTATTGTTCCCCTTTTGAGTTTGGGCAGATCCAAATGGGAGGATGGCAAACTTGTCATTAGTCTTATAAATGTCATAAAAAAATAAAGATAGATGCATCACACTGTAGGGTATGTTGATACTTTATTAATATCTAGATCAAGCTTTAACTTTGTCCATATTTGAGTTGTAACTGTCTAAATGTTTTTTATTAGGCAACCAGTATGATGGAAGTGAAGGAGTTAAAACTGTTACACAAAAGAACATTTTACCAAAACCTCCTTGTTGTAGTAAATCTGACGATATACATATAATAGAAAAACAGCAAGAAACTGGTAATGACTGGTATCTTTACTTATTTGTTTAACGTTACACGGTGATTGCTTTGATTTAGATTAATAACAAATGAATAAGTGAGATTATTTCTTATCTTATTTTAGGGCGTAAGAAACCTTTTTTTAAATATTTGTTGTTTTCTTCAACAGATTCTGTCATTTCCACATATTAACATTAACATCAGTATATTTAAGATATCTGAGAGTTTTTTTTAACTGTTTACGTGTTTTATCAGACAAACAATGTGATGAAAGTAAAGGAGATGAAAAGGTTACGCAAAAGAAAGGGTTACCCTTGCCTCCTGCATGCCCTGTTCGTGCTGGTAATTCGGATGAAATATATGACTACAGCGCGAATGCACATGTGATAGAACAACAGCAAGATACTGGTAATGATAATTAGCATTATTTATTTGATAGACGTTGAATGAATATTCTTTCTATTAAGATTAAAGAACAAAGGTATAGAACATATTTATTGTTTATGTTATTTAAAGCCGTAAGAAACATTAGTTGATTATTCGTTGTTCTCGTGAATAGAAAAGTCATTTCCACATAATTATTAAAGATTTAACCGATTCTGATAATTGTTGTTATTGTAAGATATCAATATCATTTTTGTATTCTATAAATTTACAATATTCTTAGGGACAATAATTGGCCATATTGACAGAAAAACAACGTTGGATTCTTTCTTTTAAATTCATGTAGCTGTAATAGCTTACACCTTTTAATGAATATATACTACGTTTTTAAGAACAGATAACCCTGCAAAAGAGAAAAGATGCCTTATAATATTATAGAAATAGAGAAACTGCAAAGTTAAAACATTGGAGGTTCGTTCAATATCTGCCTTCAGTAAAATATCTTAATGACAGAAATGTATTGTAATTTTTTAAATTCTTCCTAATAAATATTTCAAATTTGAATAAAAGATAAATTATATATGGGCTGGGTTACTAATTATTGGTGAAGTGAAGTTGGTATTTTTTAAAACCAGAAATTCGCGAGTCGAATGTGTCACCTTGTCAACAGTTTAGCTGTCAATTAGGCATTTTTTTCTTTAATATATAGATTATTTTTGAGCACTGCTTTTGCAATTTACACGTACCTTTACTTCACTGGCATTTGAACTGATTATAACCATGTTAGTCGGGATTAATAAAACTGTTATATTATCAAGAACAAAAATACTATGACAAACGTTTACACTGACAGATCAAATGGAGGACTATGTGATGGATTTTTGTGCACTGCACTTCACGACAATAAAAACGTTTAGAGTAAAGCAAACTTTTAGTGACAAAGGTATTCTCTGAACAAGCCTTTTAAGTATGAAAATTAACATAAGGCAATAAGTGAAAATCATGAAGTGAAGAGTACCAGTTCTTCTGCACTGGTCTTTTTCTTAATGAAATCTATCAACCTTTGACGTTTCAAGTCCATAGCTTTTATATTTAAGGAGAAATGGCTGGAACAAAATAGAATTATGAAAATGAGTGCAATAACTCAAAATCATAAAGTGCATGATACAAACCAGATCCATCACCCTATGAAGTTTCAAGTCAACAGCTTTTAAAGTGTATCAGAATTTGCACGGATAGAAATATAAATATGAAAATTAACAATGGGCAATAACTAAAATATCATTAGGTACAGATTACCGGTTCTTGTGTACTGCACTTCTTCTCAATTAGATCTATCATTGCATGACATTTAATGTCCATAGGTATTATAGTTTAAGAGAAATGGCCCTGACATAATTAAGGATGAAAATGAACAAAGGGCAATAACTCAAAAAATAAAAAGTACAGGGTAATAACTTTAAACTCCCGTTTAAAAAACAGGTCGTATTATAGTTTTCCCATTGGCGAGCGGCCAGCTGGGCGGGCGGCGTCCAATTTTTGTCAGTAGCATACCTCCTACACATATTGAGGAAGTTTCAATGAAACTTCATAAAGATGTTCACCACTAAGGGAAGGAGTGTCGCGCATATGAACCTAGTCTCTAGATCAAATGTCAGGGTCACACTTAGAGGTCATTGAAAAACGCTTGTCCGGAGCACTATTTCTACACGCATATAGGGATTTATATATACTTTGGCACAAATGTTTATCATTGTGATGCGCAGTGTCTCGTGCATAATTCAGGTCCCTGCGGCCAAGCTACATGTCACACAATGGGGTCAAAGTTCAGATAAAATATGAAAATGTTTATTCCGACCATTTAGTCATCATTTATTGAGGTTTTGAAACGCAGATTGTTATTATCATGACAACTGGTTTGAAACATGTAATTTAGGTTAATATATGCAAGGTCAAGGTCACTAAAGGTGATAAAATATATAGATTTTGTCAAGAGCATATCTCCTTCATAAATGGAGGGATCCTTATGAAACTTTATAGAAATGTTCAACATTATGAGAAGCAGTGTCATGCACATGAAACAGGTCCCTAGGTTAAAGGTCAAGCTCACACTTAGAGGTCATAAAATAACGCTTTTCCGGAGCAAAGCTTCTAAATGCAAAGGGGATATTAGTATAACTTGGCACAAATGTTCACCATTGTAAGGCGCATGTAAAACTTAGGTCCCTGTGGCAAAGGTCTAGGTCACACATAGGGGTTAAAGTTCAGATAAAAATATGAAAATGTATATTCTGACCATTTAGTCATCATTTATTGAGAAATTGAAACATAAATGGACTTTATCATGACTATGGGTTTAAATCATGTAACAAAGGTTTATATATGCAAGATCGAGGTTACTAAAGGTGATAAAATATAGAGATTTTGTTCAGAGCATATCTCCTACACATACAGAGGGATTCTAATGAAACTTCATAGATATGTTAACCACTATGGGAGGCAGTGTCATGCGCATAAGCTAGGTTAAAGGACAAGGTCACACTCAGAGGCCATTGAAAAATGCTTGTCCGGAGCAAAACTTCTACATGCATTTCAATATAATTAGCACAAATGTTCACCATAGTCAGACAGAGTGTTGCGTACAGAATTAAGGTCCCTGCGACCAAGGTCAAATTCACATATAGGGGTCAAAGTTTAGATAAAAATATTATAATGGGTATTTGGACCATTAAGTCATCAATTGAGGGATTCACACACATTAATGGTCACTATCATGACTACCATTGTGAAGCTAAGTATTGCGCACATAATCCAGGTCATTGCAACCAAAGTCAAGGTCACATATAGAGGTATGTTTGTATACGGGGACCATTAAGTCATCATTTATAGATGGATTGAAACACAGGTGATAACTATCATATTAACAAGTGTGACACATGTAATTTAGGTTAATATTTGCAATGTCAAGGTCACTAGAGATGATAAAATATCCAGATATTGTCCGGATTTTGCCCAGAACATATCGTCTATATGCATATCAATAATTCCCACATCCCTGACAAAAGCTTTTGTAACGGGCGTATTTTGCGAAAATGTTGCCCTTGTTATGGGCTGCACTTCGGGTCATCAAAATATGGAAGTATACTTAGTTTGGTGTCAATCCGACGCAGTGACTGAGTTATGCTCCGTACAAACGTAACGGGACGCCGCCGACGAAACCAACACAAGTATCCCCAATATAAAGACTTTTTAATGCGACACAAAACTGTCAGTTTTTTATAATGACACTATATATAGTGTATATAATTTTAATCATAACACACTAGCTTTGTGTGAAGTCAAAAATGTTTATATTTACAAAGAGACTGTGTGGCAATTATCAATTTTTTCTCAAATTTGAGCATAGTATATCTTTAAATGCATTATTTGAATCATTTTACGGCTATTGCATGTATATTTTTTATTTGTTTGTTACGTCTTCCCGTCCATTTAGCATAGATACCTTTGATGCCTGATTACTGTATGAACACTTTCGACGTTTCAATATTATTACTACAGATGAATACACCTACGACGATACAGTACAATCTACAATTACAACATTCCGCCTCTGACAAACTCACTTGAAACTGAAAATTCAATTCAAAGTGACTCAGAATATGAGCAATATGAATTGAATGCACCACCTATTCCACCTCGGCTGCCGTGGTCAAGCGAAAGGCGTGATTTTAAAATTCAAGAAGCTGACAGTGCAGGTAGCAAGCAGACAGAAATTATTGGTGATTTTGATAATCCTTTAGTCAAGTTTGTTAACCCTTCGGAAAATGTCAGATTAATAAATGAAAACGAGGAGTTGAAAAAAGCGAATAATGTTCTAGTTGTCCAAATCTCCCTTTTGGAGCAAAAAAGTTCCATGATTGCAGATATTAACGAAAACATTAACATACGCCGAAACCTTTTGGAAGATATAGCACTCAAGGAAAAGGAAAATAACGCATTAATTGCAGGTAATTGTTTTCATACTTGTTTCATTTACCACAATCAAACACATACGCACACCACCACCACCACCTTCACAACTTAGAAATAGAACATGAATATTACATATCCGGTTCCAAAGTTGTTGTTATTGATGAAGTAAAGTTTCTTGGAGTTATATTGGATGAAGAAACAACTCTCGTTTGTTCTACATGTAAAGGGTCACTAAATACGTTAAAGCGTTAAATGTAATTAAGATTGTTACCTCACTTAAGTGAAATTTTTATTTGTATAAAATTATGTTTCTCAAACAATTTTCAAACATCTAAGAAAATTTAAAATGTGTACTGCAAATATTTGTAGACATTATATCTAATCAATAAAATATAAACGTTCATTTGTTATTGAGAAAATTGATTTGGACTTTATAGAAAATAAATTTTTTATAAACTCCCTTTATTAAGATGAAATGTCAATTCGGTAATATCTTTACAAATAAAACTTTTTGGTGCCTATAATATTGATATATCTTCATTGAGCATTATATATATGATATAAAATTGAGTTCTTAAAGACATTTTCTACAGTTTTATGAAAAAATAATCCTTTTATAGAATTTTCTAAATTTTTTGTTTGATGAGTAAAATTTAATGACGGATTTAAAAATAAAAAGAAAAATATATGTTGAC